CACGCGCACACACACACACACACACAGTCGGTGAAAGTCCGACGAAACAGTCTGGTACGGTTATGCTTTTTTTGAGTGTATAGCGAATATGACAAGACACACACACCATCACACACACACACACACACACACACACGTGCTGAGTCCTTATCCATCAGTCAAATGCATCCTGGGCAGACTGTCAGGGTTCAACCTCCTGATGAGTTGGTGAAAGTCTGATGAAACAGTCTGGTACAGTCATGAATTCTGAGTGTATAGCGAATATGACAACACACACACAAACACACATACACACACACACGCACACACACACACACACACACACACACACACACACACACAAGAAGAAGAAGAAGAAGACTCCCCTCTGGAGTATTGGTGGAGAAAATCACCTGCTGGTAACCATGTCAAGTGTCCCATTCATCAAATCAAAGAATATGTACTTGGCTTCACTATCGCAGTGGATGCATCACTGGGTTCCTTGTCAGTTAACAAGAAAGAGCGGACATCTGAAATGCTGGCATTTTTTAAAGGAATAAATAATTAAAACTTCTTTTATTGTTATCTTTGTTTCCCAATTTTAAATTTTAATTGCATTAAGTTGGGGTGTGAAACGGTTTTCACCTTTTGCAGACACAGATGCGGATCCCAGGGCTCGATCCCCAGACCTTACCTTCCCTTACCTGTGTACAGTATCAAGTCGACACTGTGTCTTGAACCCGTGACCTGTGTGTTAGTAGTTGAAAGTTCTGTCGTAGGTCTGAGTAGTTGTCGGGTCTTGAACCTTAGACCTGTCGAAGTAGGGGTCACACCTGCATAGGGGTCATAGTTGCTGAAAGTTCTGAAAGGTCAAGGTCGTAGCTGCTACAGTCCTGAAAGGCCAAGTCCGCAAACTTCCGGAAGGTCCAGAAGTGGGCTTTCAAGTTTCTTCTCACATTAAACACAGCAGACCAGAGGCAAGTGGGCAAGTGGTGAGCCCAACTTCGCTTAGTCGGCAGTACCCAGTCCCAGCCTCACTTTGTACAGTTAGCAAGTACCATGAGGGACTCTGTGCACCATGGGCCCGGTAGAAAGGGCAGACCAACGACCTACAGAACTTAACAGAAGTATAAATCAAGAGGCAGCGTCTGGCCATTCATTCATTCCTGTGTGAGCCATGCGGAAGCGCTGCCCGAGCGTCTTGTGCAAGGTGGTTCGCAGATGCCCGAGGTCGAAGTGGGCTTGAAGAAGTCAGCGAGCCACAGTTAGTAGTAGCCGGCGGCCATAGCCGCCATAGCTAGAGTAGGTGTTAGTGTGTGTGTACGTGTGTGTGTGATACAGTGAGTGTGTGGGGTATTGAGGATGATCTGGAATTGAGTGTGTGTGAACAGTGGTGTTGGACACAATGATGAGAGTTGGGATGCACAGGGCGCTGATGCCATAGCCTGTTGAAGCGAGTTTGCATCTGAACTGTGTTCTCGGTTTCCATATCTCTGAGCTTTGAGTGGGCGCTTGGCGCCAGTGTGCTTTGCCATCTGTTGCATGCATGAAGTTGAAGAAGAAAGCGGGTCTGATTGCATTGGTATCGGAGCTGGTTTCCGTTACTCCAGGCACCACCGCCGTTGTTGACAGTTGGGCGCCATAGCTGAAGCTGAGCCATCGAAGGAGGAGGTCCGCCAGAGCTGCACCACTGAAGAGAGGTGCCGCGTACCTGCAATGAAGGCAACGACGAAAAGAGAGAGAGAGAGAGAGAGAGAGAGAAGAGATCGTTGTGCGGTCCAAGGAAGAAGGCGGCCATAGCTGCGGAGCTCGGACACGGAGGTAGAAGAAGGAAGACGAGTAGAGGAGGAGGGAGAATTGTTTATTTGTTTTTGTGAAAGAATGAGAGGGAAGTCGTAGCCGAGGAAGAAGAAGGGAGAGACTAAGAAAAGAAAAGAAAGACATAGCCGGGGTGAAGGAGAAAGAAAGTGAGAAAGAAGGAAGGAGGGAGAAGGCGAAGTGCAATTTGAAGGGAGACAAGGGGTCGGCAGCCATAGCCGAGTTGACCGGGAGTTGATTGATAGTTGATCGGGGGTTGACCGGTGTTGACCGACGTGCTGACTAAGGGTTTGACCGTCGTTGACCGAGGTGCTGATCGGGAGGTTGACCAGCGTTGACCAAGGCGTTGACTGGAGCTGTTGACCACGAATTTGACCAAGCTGGAGGTGGTATATTCTCGCCAAGCCTTCAGCCTATTCCCTCGCCCTATGGATGTGCACTCACCCCATGGTACTTGCTGAGTCTGTCTCTCTTCTTTCTTCATTGAGTCTCTTCTGTCTGGGTGATAGGAACTCTGTGCATGAGGTTGTAGAGCTGTGTTGACCAAACCCACACGCTCAACCCACACGGGCTGAGTAGGGCTTAATTCCATGTCTGACACGTCCCGTAGGACAAACCCTCCCAAGGACCGGTACAAACCGGCGGGCTGAAGAGTGTGGCATGGGTGGCCCAAAATTCGAGTTGTGGGCTGCACAACCAGCTGTCTAAGTGTTGAGAGGTTTTGCTGATCTTGTCGTCATGTTTGCAACGTTAAACAATTCCTGAGGAGTTATGGGGGATCTCCTTAAATGCCTCCTGATCAGCGCTGAAGTCCTGTAGTGACAGCTTTGAAGTAGGTCTAGGCTAGTGACCATAGTTGACAGGGTTCTGAACCGGAGAGAAAGCCAGGTGGGATTGACCACAGGTGCTGAGCATTTGGGTCTAGATTGTAAAGGACAGTGGTGGTGAAAGCTTTCGTCGGCGGTGGTAACTTGGCTGGATCAAAGGGGAAGGCTTTGTGGTCCGTAGATAGGCAGTCAGTCAAGTGGGTAAGTCTTAAGTGGTGAGGAGTGGGACAACTTTGTTGTGCACCTAACACCATGGATGGCTACCCGATGTATGGCTTGCTCATGGGGTTCTCCCTCTAGTGGACCCACTGGCGTCTCCTCTTTCCGTTGAGGTTTTGGAACACTAGAGTTGGGACTCAGGGCGGTGTTAACACCACTCCCTACGCAAAGGAACAGGAGGAGGAGGTTGCGCGGATCTTGGTCGAGCAGAAGGCCAAGAAGGAGAAGGAGGTTGTGAAGCAGGCCAAGAAATTGGCCTTATTACAAGAGCAGGCCACAAAAAGGAAAGTTGGACGAAGAGTTGGAAAGGATGAAAAAGGAGGAAGAAGGTGGAGGAAGAAGAAGAAGAAGAGAAGGTGGAAGTGCACTTAATCAGTAGTATCAGGGGAGAGTCGAGTGGCACAAAGAAGGAAGGGAACTCATGGTTAGAAAAGAAAGCGTTTGAATGGGTTGCCAATCTGTCCCTCGGAGAGGAGGAGGAGGCGATGTTATATGTCCCTAGGGAAGAACAGGAGGTGGTCATAAGGGGATTGGAAGCAGAAGAAGACCCCCTAAAATGTCAGACGATCGAAGAAGAGAAGTTAGAATGGAAGTTGCGTTTGACCAAGGAGAAGAAGAAGAGGATGGAGGAGGCAAGTAAGGCGGTGAAAGAACTGGAGGAGGTGAAGCAGCAAAGGGTGCAGATGGAAGCACGAGCGGATTTGCAAGGAAAAGTGGAGGTGATGGCAGATGGAAGCACAGGCGGATTTGCAAGGAAAAATGGAGGTGATGGCGAGGAATATAGAACGCCTGGCACAGGCTTAGGAGGAGCGATACCAATTTAGGAGGAGTCAGGACCTAGCCCTGTGATCAATACGATTGGGGTTTAGAGAATTTGCACACGAAATGATGATGCACATGGGCTCAGAAGTGCAGGCGAGGCTAGAGAGCACAGAGCGATTCTGCGGAAGTGCCATAGAAGGCGCAAAGTTGGCTGCACCAAGAGAGGAGGAAGCTCGTAGAGAGCCTGTTAAGGTGAAGTTCCTCGATTCCTACCGCGGAAAGGAGGAGAACTTCGATAATTGGGAGGCAAATGTGAACTCCTACGTGCGTTTGCAAAATATATCTCCTGACGAGCGTGTCCTCATAGCCTTCCATGCTCTCAAGGACGAAGCAGCAAGCTTCGCCAGGTCGCTTTGTCGCGTTGCTAAGTGCGATAACGAAATGGTTGCCTATTCTGCAATCACTCCTCTCAGTGATTTTCGCAAATTATTGCGCGAAATGTTTGTAGATGTCACACGAGGTGTTAGAGCCTCTGACAAATTGCAGACC